GGGAAAGAGCCAGGCCCCAGTCCAGACCCCAGACGTGCCCCATGGGGCTGAGAGACCTCTCCCAGCTCAGGCCTCTGCCTGGCCAGTCTTCAGCCTGTTGAATCAGCCTCACTATGACACCCACATCTCCCATCGCCCCGCGGAGCAGGGGCTCCTCATCCATCTGGTATCAGCTGTGCCATGTCCCGGCCGAGCACAGCTGCAGCTGGAGAGCCCTGTCTTCTCCAGGCTCCGGGAACCCCTACCTGGCTGGACACCACCTTGCACACGGTGCAGCTGGGGACAGTCCCTGCATTCAGCCGCTTCACCCATGGGCATGCAGCCTGCTCTTCCCACTTGGCACAGCTGCAGGCAGCAAATCCATGTGGAAGAAGCTGTGGGGCTGGATCCAACATCAAGACAATTTTCACAAAATGGGAGAAATACCATCCACTCCAGGAAATATTGTGGGACAAGTTGTTTTTCTCAGCCTGAATGCTTTGAGAAGACCTGAAATGTTTGCAGAAGGTGCCGAAGCTGAGAAGGGATCTCTCAAAGCTGACGGGTTCTTCACGAACAGCACATGCTCCCTGCCTCGTGCCACTAGCACGTACAATAATCTTTATTAAATGCGGAGGAATTATCTACTTTGGGATAGTGGAAAGACATTATTAAAATGGAGCTGAGCCACCCACCGAAGACTTTAAGCTTTCTGTGCTTTTGCCAAGTGACACATGAAACCTTCCCAATGTTGATCTTGTCGACTCTTATAAACAAGAGGAGGATATTAGCTGTTCTGTCCACATTAATGGGCTGTTTTTTTTGTGATGTCGGTTTAAATATCCTAAATCCCAGCCTAGTTTTCAGCCTAAGGGAAAATATTTCACAAGGTAAAAAAAGACTATTCACAATAATAAAAAAAATCAGGCTCAGACAGGGGCCCTGACACACTTTTTAGACATTTTCAGGGTATTTCAAGGCCCTCCCATCTGTCTCTGAGACACTCGATGCATCTCAGCGTCCCCTTTTGCTGCGAGGCTGGGCTGAGCCAGTCAGCAGAGCAGCGTGGTGAATGACTCCCACTCAGGGACAGTGGGTGACAGGCAGGGGCTGGCCTCTATTCGGCTCCGCTGCTGCCCTCTGCGGCTCCAGCGATGCCTGGCCACTATTTTTGTTTCTTGGTGCAGTGCCAGATAGGGTGCCACATCCCTTCTCCCCCCCCCATCTCCTGCAGACCCAGCTCCACTGGTGACTGATGCCCACAACCACATTTATCATACACCACCTCCTCCACCTCCCTGGGATGCCCTCTCCAAGGCATGTCGTCAGGACATTGGGGATGGGGAATTAACACGCATGCAATCCCTGCAATCCATGCCAGGATCCTTCTCAGCATCCCAAGCGCTGTGTTACAGATGACAGCATCTCTTCCGGCACTCAAACTCAAGAGGACTTCACTGGAGATGGCCAACCCGGCAGCTGTGGTGTGGATGTCCCGGTGTTTGGTCCTCGGAGTGCAGGCATGCATGGGGCAGCTCTCCAGCCTGGTGCTGCCTGGGGGAGGTTCTAGATTCCAAAATGAAATCAGGTGATGTAGGAATTATAATTAAGGATGTTCAAAAATGAAATAATTTCAGGAGCATCTGAAGGAAGACGGACTCTTGACCCAAAGCTAAAAAAAAAATACTGCTTCCTACAACTGTGATATTTTTTTCTTTTCATTTTTGTGTGAGGAAAAACACCCACCCCACCCCCAAATAATACACCGATGTTCACAGAAGCCTCTCAGCAGGGGACATGATGGTGAAGGAGGTACACACGGTCTCACCTGCCAAAAACCACTGGCACCATCATGCTACAAACCCTTGTCTTGGCAGCGAAACCCTCACTGCCTTCACTGGTGGTCAGGGGTAGCCAGCCAGCCCCAAACTGACCCCAAAGCCAGGGCTGGGCACGTCAGTTTCATTGGGTGGAAAAAAGGGCCCTGAAGCTCCCCTTGCCACCTCCCCTGCACCTGACCTCACCCTCCCAGTGCTGCATGATGGGTGTCAGTCCCAGCACCCATGGTTGCTGGCACAGCCCCTGGCCCCAGGAGTGGAGGCACAGAGCAGCCCCCAGCCTGCACGGAGGAGCCCCAACACCAGGCATCCTCCAAGCAGTGTGGGGAGGGTCGCTGGAGTGGGGGCACCTTGGGGCTGGGAGCAGTAGAGCTGGATTTTCAGGATCTTGCCTTTGAACTCAGGAGGCTCTGGGGCACCTCGCTCCATTTTGGGGCTCAGACGCAGCTTTGCTTGGTGTCTGCAGCACTGGGGTCCCCAGGAGACAGCCCCTTCTAGCAGCAGGAGCTTGTGTGCTGGGGAGGGCTGTGAGGCCAAATGCCCACCAACCCCCTGCCATGCCTCAGTTTCCTCACATCCATGCTTCATGTGTATCGTCTCCCTGCTCTTCGGGCTGGCTGGAAGCACCCTGCGAGCTCCCTTGCACTCCCAACTCTGTGCAAATAGTCAACTGGAAGTACTGTCACGGTGCTTGGCCTCCTGCAATGCTCCTCAGCCCTTCTTCCCCTGCACTTGCTCTCTCCTGCAAACCAGTTACCTCTGAGCTCCCTCCTGTCTGCAGGAGATTTTCCCTCAGGTAAATTCCCCCCATTTACCCAACTTCACCCATCAGCACTGTGCCCCATCCAGGCACCATGGTACCGGTGATGAGGGGATGCACCAGCCGCTGCCTCAGCCCCACTCCGCTGTCTGGCCAAGTCTCTTGGCTGTTTATTTGCTTTTCAGTCTCCTGGTGACCTTTTCCTCTGCATGAAAAATTCAGGGCTCACAGGCATCGAGTGAAGCCATCCTGCCCCCCACCCGCACACCGCTGGCTCAGCTCTCACCCCCCAGCCCCTGGCCCCAGGGTCAGGCTGGGAATCCGCCTGCCGAGGGTAGATCTGGCCAATATGGGAGCCTGCGCAGAAGGAACTCCCAAACCTGGGGGATACACGGTACTGGCAGGGCACGTGGCTGCGCGTTGGTCTGCAGAGGGATGAGGAGATCAGGATGGCAACAGGAAACCTTGGCTTTCCCCATGCCTGGAGCTGAAATGCCAATGATGTGCCTTGTTCCTTCTGTCCCTTGCCCTCTATTAATCACTTAAATTTCTCCCCAGCTCCTGGGTACCTCGGCCTCTCTGCTGCCTCAGCCATTGGTGCAGGGTGGACATGCCCACAGCCAGATCTGGTGCTTACACACACCCATCTTGATCATTTTCCTCCCCAGCTCCTTGCTGGCACTTGGAAAACAGAAAAGATCTGTTTACAGTGTGAGAGAGAGCAGAGAAACTGAAAACGAGGAGTCTGACTGAAACTGGCTAGAAATTCCAAAGACCTTGGAAAATCCCTCGCATTGGGTGCTCCCCAGCCCTGGGTGCTGCCCTTCCATGGCACATGCTCAGGATGCTTGCAGGACTTTGGATGAGTCCCTGGACTCCAGGAGCTGGGGATTTAGAGAAAGCCCAGGACAGAGGTCCTTGCCATAGAAATGCTGTGTGAGTGCCAGCACCTTCTTCCAGCCACTGACAACCCCATTCCTGCCCGGAATGTGTGCAGAGACCTGGTCTGAGGGCTGGTCCCTGCAGGGCTCCATCCTTAGAGCATCTCCCCGTGGGCAGGGGACAAGGTCACACCATCCCTGGAGCTCACCGTGCTTTGGTCCCTCTGTGCCTGCTGTGGCACAGGGACCATGCAGAGCTCCGTCTGTGCAGGGTTTGGATCTGGCTTCATCTGTGTGCCCCTCCCCCAGCTTGGATCCCCCCACTTGTCTCTGCTCACAGCCAGGAGGTTGTTCTCAGCAAGTGAAGCCAAAGACCAGGGATATCCAAGCAGACTTTCCTGGGTGAAAAAACACCAAAATGCTCGGAAAGAGCCAGCACGATGAGCAGGCTCTGGCCATGGCACTGTTTTTCCCCAAAGCCACCCCGGAGCTGCCCTGGACATAACTGGGACTTGGGGCCAGCTGCCACAGGCTGTGGGGCCAAGGGGCCATGCTTCCCAATTCCCACGCAGCCAGGCAATCTCCAGGAGGATCTGCAGCACCTCTGGCCACGGGGATGGGGCTCAGGCTCCGGCTTGTGGAGCTGGGTGGCTCGAGGCGCTGGCGTCTGCGCTGCCTGTCAGGGCAGAGCCATCCTTCCCGCCCGCCATCCCTTGCCTCCAAAGCCAGGCAGAACTGCTCCTGGGTCGCCTGCCCACAAACCACTGTGGGAATCCCTAAGGACACAGGCATAGTGGGATGGGTGACCAGAGAGGCTTGGGGGCTTTAGGGTCCAACTGTGGGATGCAGGCAGATTGAGGGGGATGCCAATGACTGGCAAAGCTCTGTGCAGGATTTGTGCTCTCCCATACCCTGCGGGACCCCACAGATCACAGCAACACCAGGGTAAGCAGCAGAAGGTCCTGTTTGGGGACACATTCAGCACAGGGAATTGGGGTCCCCAGTCAGTCCCCATCGGACATCCCAGGGCAGGACAACATCCAGCGGCACGGCCATGTTACTGCACCATCAGGATACAGTGTTTGGGGTCCCTGCTGCAGTAGCAGCTCTCCATCCTCTTCCAACGTGGGGGCTCAGGGGTAGCCATGTAGCCAGCCATATCCATGTGTCCCAGCATCACTGGCATGTGGGCAGAGCTCACCGTCACGCTGATTCCTCCAGGCTCAACCTCACCTATCCCATCCCCTGTCCCGCAGGAGAGGCCCGGGGGTCCCCACCAGTCCACCAAAGTCCTGGCCATGTTGATAAAGGATGGCGGGCCCCCAGGAAGGAATGTCACCTCCTGGCTGGAGATCCAGGCTCTGACTGTGTCCTTTGCCCCATCTTGCCAAGGGGTTGTGGCTGTTGTGGTTTGACCCCTGCAGTCATGCCAGCCCAGCTCCTCTGGTGCCTCTGTCCTGCCCCAAGACAGTGGGAACCAGTGCCTGCACTGGCCTCCCCGGAGCCATTGTCCCTGTCCTTGGGCCACAGACAGCAATGGCATCACTTGGCCACCGGGATTCCATTCTCCCCACTGCCAGCAGAGCCAAGGGCCACCTCCATCCTGCTCTTTGGATGCTGTGCGTCCATGGGCTGTCCTGCCGGGGCTGCCTCAAACTGCACCACTGTGGAGAAAAGGTGCCTGTTACCCACCCGGCCAGCGCTGGGACGTGGGGCAGGATCCAACCCCGAGGGCAACTGGGAAGCACAGCCAGCCACAGTCCTCACTGCCACCCCACGTGCAAGATGGCAAAGAGCCCCGTACCACTCAGGGCCACCCCAACCAGAGGGAGGGTGTTAGAAAGTCCTTCTCCAGGGATGTGGGCGGGGAAACCCACCAGGAGATGTGGAGGGCAGAGCCCAGCCAGGGCAGGGGGACATGGGACCACCGCCCTGCATACCCTTCCCCACCCTGGGACCCCCTCTGTGATTCACACGGGGAAGCCAAACCACTCAGAGATGGGACCCAGTGGCCAGGGACCTCATCCTGTGGTGGGTGCTGCACCCTGACCCGCGGTGAGGGGTCCAGTACCTGCTCGGCAGCTGTGCCGGGCGCGGACGACCTGGATCGCCTGCTGGTTCTTGAAGCGGACCAGGCCCATGGTGATCTCGGCGTTCCAGCCGGGGTCCTCCTGGGTGCAGCGGAAGTCGATCTCGTGGCTGTTGTCCATTACCACCGTGAAGTAGATGTGCCGCTCCTTCCACTCCACGCACTCCACCGCCTTCATGTGGGCGAAGCTCAGCTCCTTGTACCGCGAGCCCTTGGGCTCGAAGAGCTGCAGCCCCTTCTCTGTCAGCAGGCACCTCTTCTTCTTCCAGAGCTGCAGCAGCCCCCCACTACGCTTCTCCAGCAGCCCCTCTCTCAGCACCTTCTCGGG